AATCAACACTCCAGGGAGTTACCTGCTAAATTCCCGATTACATTCTTTCAAACAGCCCTAACAATTTCATAAAGGAGTAGTGCTGGTCTGCTCTGGTCTACTGTGGAAATGTCTGAGAATTTCTTTCTCTGAAATAATAAGTATTGAATAAGGTCTAGGGGACCAGCAAGGCTAACTCCCTCAGATTACACTGGGATTTCAATTCTTCAGACGCCTCTTTCTAGACCAGCGGTTCTCAACCTGTGGGTCGCGACACCTTTGGGGGTCGAATGACCCTTTCACAGGGGTCGCCTAAGACCATCGGAAAACACATAATTACATATTGTTTTTGTGATTAATCACTATACTTTAATTACGTTCAATTTCTAACAATGAAAATATATCCTGCCTATCAGATATCTACATTACTATTCAGAACAGTAGCAAAATTACAGTTATGAAGTAGCAACGAAAATAATTTTATGGTTGGGGGTCACCACAACATGAGGAACTGTATTAAAGGGTCACAGCATTAGGAAGGTTGGGAACCACTGCTCTAGACTAATAATGACGCTGGAGTTCAGACCCTTAGAATGCACTGGAAGTAGGTTATCTTTTAACCTGGTCATCTGAATGAAGATTCTTTAAAAGACTGCTTTCCCTTGTAAAATAAGCATGAGGAAGCCTCCCTCTAAAATCTAAAGAAAGTGAAATAAAACAACATATGGAAAGAGATTACAGGATTAACACATTACATGATAAGCCTTATGAAGACACCCGGCTGCCTCACAATCTTTCTTAGGGAGTCATTGCAAATTCATAACAACTCAACACTATGTCTCTTACATAAAAAGGAAGCCAGTGGAAACACTAGTAAGTTACTGTTTATTCAGTAATATTTACATCGAGCCTACAAATAAAGAGATGTCTATTGAAAACAGTGAATTTGTATTATAAGTAAATAAATAAACTTGGCTTATTTTTGACTTATGTCTTTGGGATTTCCAAATTTAGTCTTATGAGCAATGACATAAACGGTAAGGAGCCTTCAGAACTCTCCTCAATGACAAAAGGGCTCAAAGTAATTTATGTCATCAAATTGGAATTTAAACTTAACAAATAATTGAGAACTACACTTAAAACTGTTTCACTTGCTTAATCTAAGACCAATAAATGTAAAACCATTTTAATATAAATGTATTTTAATGAAAATCCATAAACTGCCCATAATATAAACAAGTGCTGAAATTTACTAAATGCATTCTCTCTCTCTCTCTCTCTCTCTCTCCCTCTCTCCCTCCCACCTTCCCTCCCTCTCTCTCATCTCTTTTGAACAATAGCTGACTAGCTAAAGAAGACGATAAAGGTTACTACAAATTTTATAATTTTAGTAATCATGATAGTGTTCACATCTTTGTAGTTTAAAGAACTTGCTTAGGATAGATCTAACATTAAGCCAATAACAGTTTAGGCTGCCAAACCCTAGTAACAGATTCTTTCCACAGACTATTTTAATTTTCATAATCTTGTATGGAAACACAAACCCCGAAGACTGTGAGGATAGCCGAGGAGGGTAAACAGTGGTAAGAAGACCAAGCAGTCACATATACAAAGAATCATAGCACCATATGCCATGGGCGTCCCAACAAGCGCCATCCCTCCTTGCCTCACCAACTCTTAGAACTGACACACACTTTGTCAGGTACAAAGGTTTGGTCAGGCCTTTCCTTGCCTGAAGCAATATCCAAATTGCATTTGTTTGTTTGTTTTTTGTTAATCCTCACCCGAGGGTATTTTTCCATGGATTTTAGAGAGAGTGGAAGAGAGAGGGAAAGGCAGAGAGAAACATAAATGTGAGAGAGACGCATCAATTCATTGCCTCCTGCATGTACCCCAACTAGGGCCAGATCCAGGGAGGAGCTTGCAACCAAGATACCTGTCCTTGACCTGAATCAAACCTGGGACCCTTCAGTCTGCAGGGCTATGCTCTATCCACTGAGCCAAATCGGCTAGGGCCAAAATTGCATTCTGTGGTGGGCAGAGAAGAGTTAAATGTTTAAGCCATGAGGAAATTATTAACTTCTCAGTTGATGACAGAGAATTTGCATTTTTACCCTAATTTTTACCTTTGGTATGTACTTGAGAATAACTCATTGATCCAGCCAAAAAGAAAAGAAATGAAAAATGACTATAGTCTGTATTGGTCGTCTTGTCATTAATAAACAATGTTGAGTGTGTGCACCCCACTGTGTGGAGACCAATCCCACCTTTCCCGCAGTGGTCACTTACCCCTTGGGAAAAAGTTGGGCTGCACCACGTAGAGGAAGATGCGCACCATATTAAAGAGATTGCCGATGGACCTAGGTGTGTAATGGTCTTTGGTCTCATAGGTCGGCATGGGCAACTGAAACTTCAGACCATCATTGGTACTGTTTGGGGAGGACGAGGGCTCCTCTGAAATGGTACTCTGGCAGAGTCCCAGCAGCAGCAGAACGCCGAGTGTCAGGGTCATGGCTAGCAAGGTGCTCCACGCATGAGGTAGAAGTGGGGGCCTCCGGCCTCAGAGGTTCTGGGCGCCGTGGGTAAGCCAGGAGCACGGATAAGCCAAGAGTGCGCGTTTCTGTGTAGAAGAGGCGCAAGGAGGGGAGGACTAGCCTGAATGGCATGCACGATCTCCAGTGGGGTCAGTCACTCAAGGCAGCATCCCTGGAAGATGGAGAAGAGGCATCAGTCACTAACGCGGCGGCGGGCGTGCACCAGGAGCTGCCCACGAGGAGGCTGTGAGGCTTTAGCAAGCCCATCTGCCTAATCTGTGTGGGGGCAGGGCTCAGAGTCTGCCTCAGGGCCATGGGACTTGAAAGTTCCATGCAGGTCCCTCCTCTGCAAAGGGCCACATACCAGGTAGTGTAGAGAAGGCTGTACGGCTTTAGAAACTAACATTTATTGAGCACTTACTACATTCCAGACACTGTTGTCCTTGCGTTAGAGGTAGGATCCTGCTTAAGGCATTATCCCATTTTACAGAGAAGGAAACTGACCGAGGGTTTCCTTGGTGACTTGCCTGAGGGAACAGCTGAGCCCGAGGGGCTAGACTCTGAGGTTCTCCCCACAGAGCCCTCCCTCTCAGGCTCCAGCCAGAGGCTGAGGCCCCAGCAACAAACTGGATGCTCTCTTTTTTCTCCGAGTCTGTGTTGTTTTCCTGGTCTCTGGAGACATATCTTACTCTGCCTTTTATTCTGCTTATTTGCTCACTGATCTCAGTTCAAACATCCTCCCTCTATCCACCTACAACCCAAACTAAAAGAGCAGGGTCTCAAAGCAAGGGGCCAAACTCTTCAAGGCTGGGTGACATTGGAATTTATCTGTCTCAAAGGTTCACCAGGTAGTCTTGATGGAAATCTTTGCCCCCAAGTCACCACCTGATCAACTAGGGGTCCAGGCGATACGAGGCAGGGCAGAAGGGGACTCCTGCCCACCCCTGGGAGAGGGAGAAAGAAACAGGGATCCTAAAAGCTGCTACCAACCCAGTGTCTACTGAGAATACTTAGTGTGGCCCCTGTTCTCCTTGTATTTCCGTCCCCGGAACTGAACACAAGGCAGGGGACACAGTAGGGGCTCTGGAAGGGCTGCTGGATATAAAATAAATAAGCCAGAACAGCTGACTTGCTTGTATCATTGCATGAGGCTAGTGAGCTAAAACAGAACCCACCTTGAGCCAAATCGGCTAGGGCCAAAATTGCATTCTGTGGTGGGCAGAGAAGAGTTAAATGTTTAAGCCATGAGGAAATTATTAACTTCTCAGTTGATGACAGAGAACCCCGGATTTTATTTATATAGAAGATGTTAGATAGGCAGGAGCAAAGCAAGGCCGATGGGCCAGGTACAGAAACTCACCAGGGCAGAGAGCCTACCAAGGGGCAAAACTGGGAAAACAAGAACCTTGTCCTCAGGGTAACCGATCCTCCCCTAGCATATCTCTGGTCCCACGGGTTTAGACCCCCTGACCTTCCTCTAAAGATAACATCTAGGCCTCAGTTATATTTCAGCTCCAGGCTCAGGAAAGCAGCAAAACCAGAGAAGTGAGGACAAGTGACACGTGGCTGCCTCAGGACCAGCTGCATTGACTAATGACCCCCTGCCCTGGCACTGACCAATCAGTGGAGACTGTGACCCTGAAAGAGCACCCCTGGGAAGCTGATGAATATTCTATTAAGACTCTCCCCTGAGAGCTCCCTTAAGATTTCTACCTGCAAGAGAGAGATAAATATGCTTAGGACAAAGGACCCAGTGTGCGCTCTCCCCTAGGAGAGCAGGCCAGCGCCATTCCCTTCCCCCTTTCTTCTAAGGTCTCGACCCCTTTGGCAGTCGAATGGCCCTTTCACAGGGGTCGCCTAAGACCATCCTGCATATCAGATATTTACATTACGATTCATGACAGTAGCAACATTACAGTTATGAAGTAGCAATGAAAATAATTTTATGGTTGGGTCACAACATGAGGAACTGTATTTAAAGGGCCAGAAGGTTGAGAACCACTGCTCTAAGGGAGCCCCACAGGACATGCAACCAGGGGACCAACAGGCAGCGGCAGCTTGTCCTTGCCCTGAACCTGTCTCCAAGGCCCCCTTTTCTCTGGCTTCTCAGTGAGCCAAAGCAGCTGGCCTAGGCTCCCCTGCCTTATTTCACTGTCCTAAGTATGTTTTTGCTGCCATCATGGACCCAATACCCTTTGGCTCAGTTCTGTGCAGCCCTTCCCTTTAGATATCCCCCATGCCCCACCTTCTTTTCTTTAAATAAATTCAATTTTTCTTTATCCATCATCTGAGATGGCTCTTTAGCCTGCCCACACAGCACTGACTTTAACATTTCAGTTGACACACACAGGTGCTCTTGAAACACACACTATGAGAGCACCCATCAGGAAAGTGACACACTGTACAAGGGAACAGTGGCCCCACTACCTACATTCCACCAAGTCAGAGGAGGAGGTAGGATTTCAAGAGCTATTTGAATGAAGATGTGAATTCCTAAGGAACCCCCTTAGATATTGCCTAAGTCCTGTCCCCCGCCAATTACTCTGCAAAGAGCCACCGATACAATGACCCTAACCTCTGCCTTTATCAGCTCAATGCTGCTAGATCCTCAGTGGCTCTGGTGCCAGCCTCATTAACCCCAAGCTCCATATCTGCTCCCCATTTCACCATAGATACACCAGGACCTGGTAACTGCTTCCCAAAGGCGATCACTGCAAACCCTTGTCCTCAGGCTCTGCAGTGTCCCAGCCTCCACTGCTTCCAACAGGAACCAGGGCTCTGCTTGGCCCTCAGACCCTTTCCAGAGAGAATGCAGAAGAAAACAGAGTGGCAGCCTTTGCAAGTCCTTTCGTCTGGGAAACTCCGGTTGCACAGGGCAGGAGAAAGTATGAAACAAGGGATGTGTGTGGTTATTCAGACATGAAAAGGCTCCTCTAAGCAGGCAGGCAGGTGTGTGCACACATACTGCACACACTGCACACACACATATCATGTACACATAAACCACACACTGATACACTACCTGTACACACAGAACACATACCACCCATAAATACAGGGTGGGCAAGAGTAGGTTTCCAGTTGTGAATACATAAAACAGAGTATTCTTATATTATTATTTATTGACTAGAGGCCCAGTGCATGAATTTGTGCATGAGTGGGGTCCCTCCTGGCCAATCGGGGCCATCTCTCCCCAGTCCCAATCGGGCAAGGTCACAGCTGAGGGACCGTGGGTGAGGGAGGTTGGCTGGCTGCAGGAGGTTAGCTGTGGGAGCACATTCACCACCAGAGGGCAGTTCCTGCATTGAGTGTCTTTCCCCTGGTGGTCAGTGCATGTCATAGCGACCGTTCGTTCTGCTGTTCTGTTCATTTGCATACCTTTTATTATATAGGATTATTGTACTATTTTCCATACAAACAACTGTAAACATACTTTTGCCCTACCCTATACAGATATGGACACACACAATACACACACCACATACCTATATCACACACACCACACATATACACACACTAACACACACCACATACATATGCACCACACATTGACACCCTATATATACACACCCTACACATACTAACATAGCATACACACAGCACACACTAACACACAACACATGTACACATATGGACACATACCACACAATACACACACCATGCACACATACCCACAATCGCATCTTGATTTCTGCTAAAGGATAGGCAGGGAACGGAGCAGCTGGAAGGATTAAGGGCTCAGCTGCTAAGAGAGGCTGGCTTCCTGGTAATGCCACCAAGCCTCCGCCAGGGAGAGACACGGCAGGAGAGAAGGGGCAGGGGGCCCGTGGGAGAGCCAGGAATAAGCAGACTTGCAGGCTCCCTCCGTGAAACACAAGAAAGGGAGGTCCCAAAGGAGATGCTGCTTCTCGCTGCTGGGGAGGTATAGGGTGTCCCAAAATTCACTCAAGATTTGAATTTTGTGTGAGCATTAATAATAGCAACAACAAAAAAACAAAAGCCTAATTTTACTTGGTTTATTGAATCAGATTCTAATATCTGTGGCCCTTTGATTTCAATCCCTTCAATTTGATAAGCATTACCAAGTACCAATTATGACCCAGGAGCTATTCCATACATAACCCTATACTGCATACTTTATGAATCAATAAAAAACTCTACAATTTTTAATTATAAACCTGTGTTTTCTATCAAAATTACTTCTTGCGTGAATTTTGGAGTGTCGGTGGGTGTCTTTACTCCTTGCTCCAAAGCGGAGGTTCCTCTAAAAGTTTAGAATACATTTGAATGAAAAACAATCATAGTAGGGGACCTTAACACCCCATTATCTCCACTGGACAAATCCTCTAAACAGAAACTCAGCAAAGAAACATCAATCCTAAATGACTCACTAGATCAGATGGAATTAATTGACATCTTCAGAACATTTCACCCCAAAGCCACAGAATATACATTCTCCTCAGGTGCACATTTGTCATCTTCAAAGATAGACCATATATTGGGTCACAGACAAAGTGTCTTCAAATTCAAGAAAATTGAAATCATATCAAGCATCTTCTCAGACCACAAAGGCATAAAACTGGAAATCAACTACAACAAAAACAATCCAAAAAAATCAAACACATGGAGACTAAATAGCATGCTATTAAACACCGACTGGGTTACCAGTGAGAAGATTGATGAACTTCTAGCCAGGCTCACCAAGAAGCAAAGAGAGAGGGCCCAAATAAACAAATTCAGAAAAGAAAGAGGCAAAATAACAACAGACCCCACAGAAATACAAAGGATTGCTAGAAAATACTATGAACAACTCTACTCCAACACACTAGACAACCAGGAGGAAATGGACATATTCCTAGAAAAATACAACCTTCCAAAACTTAACCAGGAAGAATCTAAAAATCTCAATAGGCCAATAACTATGGAGGAAATCGAAGCAGTAATCAAAAAGCTTCCAGCAAACTGAATGAAAAAAATTAAAATCTCACTATGCCTGAAACACTAGACAACTGATAAAAGCCAAGTGCAAAAGGAAACGTTTCCACCCCTGTTTTAACCGGGATGTCACAGCTGTGTCAAGAAGCCCTGGGTGCGTGCCTATCAAACCACATGTAGCCTGAGAGCAGCTCCCAGAACTGCCCGCAGAAAACCCAGGAAAACCGTCATGGACCAACAGCTGCATCTGAATAAAGGGGGTGTTTATTCAAAACACAGATGATCAGAACTAATTTCTAGAGATGGGGCCATGGATCTGCATATTTAACAAGCTCCCCTGGCGAATGATTCTTAAGACATCTCAGGTTTGAAAGCCAGCACTGTTTCTGGCAGCTGCCTGGCTCATTCCTGCCTCTGTCCCAGACGCAACCTTGGGACAACAGAAATAAGGCAAAAGCTCCCAACAGCCCAGCCCATAGTGTATGGAACTGACTGGCTGCTGTGTGGGGTGTCTGACTTACTTATCTCTGTGCCTGAAACTCTATGCATGGAGTCAGGCACACAGTCGGTGCTCAATAAGGACTGCTGAAATCAAATGGACTCACAACATGATCATTTTACCTCTTTTGAAATCATGCCAAGCATTTGCTTATGAGCAGTCCTGTGGCCTCTGGAAGGGAGGCGCTGGGTTGCTTGTGGCTACTTCCTGCAGCACAGGCAGCCACGGTGTCCTCGCTGGCGTTACCAATGGGAGAACTGGTCTGCCCTCCTGGGGGCCATACTTCCTGCTGGGATCCTCACCTTTACAGGCTTTGGACACTGCTCTCTGGTGCTACCTCCTTGCCTAGGCACTAGGCTGACCAATAAATGGGGTGTAGATTCCTGGTTTCCACTCCAAATGCACTGAGTGCAAACTGGGGAAGGCGCCCAAGAATGTGAATGTTGAGCAAACACCTCCCATGATTATGAGCCTGGCGTCCAGAGTTGGGCGCTACCACAAACCCCGGTTTAAAAGCAAACATGGCCCTAACTGGTTTTGCTCAATGGATAGAGCGTCAGCCTGTGGACCAAAGGGTCCCAAGTTCAATTCTAGTCAAGGTCACATACCTTGGTTGCAGGCTCCTCCCTGGCCTGGGATCTGGTCAGGGCTCATGCAGGAGGCAACCAATCAATATGTTTCTCTCACATAGATGTTTCTCTCTGTCTTTCCCTCTCTCTTTCATTCTCCCTAAAAATCAATGGGAAAGCATCCACAGGCGAGGATTAACAACAAAACAAAACAAAAGAAATGAAAGCAATCATGGTGACCATCCAACTTCATCTTTTCTTTTGCTGGAACCTTTGCTGGGATGTCTGTTAAAAGGATGTCTGCATAGATATTTGCCATCTGGGTTTTGGGGGTAGGAACGGGTATGGTGGGAGCTGCCCAACTTCTTTTTTTAAAAAATATATTTTATTTTATTGATTTTTTTCAGAGAGGAAGGGAGAGGGATAGACAGTTAGAAACATCGATGAGAGAGAAACATCGATCAGCTGCCTCCTGCATATCTCCCACTGGGGATGTGCCCACAACCAAGGTACATGCCCTTGACCGGAATCGAACCTGGGACCTTTCAGTCTGCAGGCCGACGCTTTATCCACTGAGCCAAACCAGTTAGGGCGCTGCCCAACTTCTGAGCCCACCTTTGCCAGTCTCGCACTGCAAGGCCAGCTGAGGCCCCCAAACTGTGCACTGGCACCCGGGTAAGTCAGGCTCGGCCAATCAGATGCTTACTCCTGGGTTTGCACACATGGAGCACCGCATGGAGGCAGAGACTGTTTTTACCCCATTCAGCAGCCACCTTCAGAGCCCCATCGTGGTGAGAGCCATGGCCATATAACAACCAGGAGCTCTTCTTGTCATTTCTCGGAGCCACCCAATACAATTATCCAGAGTTGGCTCCTATCATTTTAAAAAATATATATATTTGTATTGATATCAGAGAGGAAGGGAGAGGGAGAAAGAGATAGAAACATCAACAATGAGAATCACTGATTGGCTGCCTTCTGCACACCCCCACTAGGGATCGAGCCTGCAACCTGGGCATGTGTTCTGACCGGGAATTGAACCCTGACCTTTTGGTTCATAGGCCGATGCCCAACCACTGAGCCATGCTGGCTGAGTGGCTTCTATCATTTGTAACAAAGCAAATTCCAAGGGAGCAAAACCTATCTCCGTCATATTTTAAACGGTTAACAAAACAGTGTTTGGTTTAAAGTTTTATTTTTTAACCTGCCCTCTGATGCACTTGTTTGCGTCATTGCCCAAGACTCACAAAACAGTCCAGAGTGGAATCATGAGAAAGCTCCTAAAAAAACATTATGAGACGCATTAAGGAAACCGAACAAAACTAAAGGGCACTGCTGGGGGGATAGTGGGGCTGGAGGCTGGAGTCCGCCTTACGAGCTCTGTGACGGTTGCTTAAACCTCTCCACCGTTCCCTTTGCTCCTCTGTGAAATAAGATTGTGAATGGTGCTAGAGGGTTAAAGACACAACAGGCTCAGCACCTGGTACACAGCTGGCAGCCGATGGTAGGTCTGTACTGCTCCTACCAGCACCAATACTCTCACCAACAAGACAGGGCCGCTCCAAGGATATTGAAAGAGAAAATTCCCAAGTAAGTGAGAAAAGAAAAATAAATATTAAGTTGCCCATATTCCCGTTTTCTAGCCACACACACACACACACACACACACACACACACACACACACACACCAAAATGCAGTTTCATATAGTTAAACCTAACGCATGACCACAGTTGTGTGAGTCTCCACGGGCTCTGTTGCAGTACAGGGCGGGGGGTAGGTTTAAGGACGCCAACCGCACGCACACTTTATCCTCACCAGGGCACCCACCGCCCACAGGAGCCCGGGAAAACCTTATAGGAGCCGGGCAGGGAGGGCAGAGAATGGTCAGCAGCGCTGGGGCTGCAGACGCAACCAGTTGCTGCAGGAAGCCTGGGGCCCCGCGCTCCTCTCCCATGCTGCCTAGCCGGCCCCCTTCGCCCCACTCCCATCTCCCTGGGGCCTCAAAATAATGGGCTGCGGGACACAAAAGACTGGACTGCAGGGCGGGTTGGGGAAACTGCTCCAGGAATCTGCCGCCTCCTGGGGGAGGGGGTTGCCTGAGTAACTTGGCTGCCCGGAGCCCGCGGCTCTGCAGGCCAGGTTGGCACAGATCGGGGTCCCCAAGAAGAAAGGGGCCCGGAGCGGTGTACCCCCTACCCAAGCATCGGATCCCTCGCCCCTCTGGACGTGGGCTTTGGGAGAAACTGACCTCAGCCCGATTCTCCGTCTCTCTCATCGCTGGGCGCTTCCTCTGTCCGCGCGTCCCTTTAATGTCCTGGCGCCGCACCGCCGGGGGCGCCCCAGCACCTAGTTCTCATCCCGAAACCGCTGTGGGTCCCCCCCACCGCGGGCGCGGAGCAGCCCCAGGGGCAGGGGAAAGCTGCAAGTCCCGGGTTAGTGAGCTCCCCGCGGAGCCGGAGACGGGTCCCACTGCACCCCAGAGCTCCCCCCCTGCTATGGTCGCTTGCACAGCGCATTCCAGGGGGCAAACTAGAGAGAGGTGACTCCTTCCCGTGCCCTCAGGGAGGATCAGTGCCCCGCGCGCCCCCTGAGCCCCCTCGCCCCCAGCACCCCCTCGTCAGTGAGTTAAATGAGTCTTGGTCACCTCTTAAATACATGCTCCAGGGTGGCCGCACACATCCAAATGGAGTCACCTCTATATCTCTCATAGATTCATCAACCACCAAGTCATCCTTGTAGATCAGAGGCTCTCAATCAGGGGTACCCTCCGGCTCCACCGCCGCTTTGGGGGTTCCCATCACCTACCTAGGTGCCGGGGCGTGGGGTCTTGGGGAGCTGGGAGGTGAGGGGCGCAGAAAGAGCTGCTCAGTTCCCCATTCCCCACCCCAGTTTTCTAGAAGGGGATGCGCGCACCCACCCACCCCCCCCACCCCCCCAGAGTCCGCAAAATGAGTCCCAGTTTCCTTAAAGATTCTCACCTGCCGGGACAGCGCATGCGGCTAGGTGCCTGGTGGGGACCCTGCGGGGGGTTTAAAGATACTAAGCCCGGGGTACGGGACGCGCTCCCATTGGACCAGCCGGGCACGAGGCCCCCGGGCACGTGGACTGCATGGGTTTCCTGAGGCGGGAGTCCCGTCCGCCTGCCCGCCCTGCGCTCAGCACCCACGCCTCCTCCACCGCCAGAGCCCTCGGCTGGGCTGGGGGGCCACAGCCCTTCTCCAGACTCCGCCTCTGTCTGGCTCCAACCCTGCCAGGTGGACTCCCTCAGCCGCCGCCGGCTTTTAACAAACGATTTACCAAAACAAAACAACACCGGAATCCTTGGGTCCCCTAGGATGTACCAATCACAATGCTAGCAGCCTGAGCCATAAAACAGCATAAAGCAGTGGTTCTCAACCTTGGCTGCATATTAGAATCACCTGGGAATCTTTTTAAAATCCTGATTTCTGGGCCTCATCCTCCGGAAATTCTTGATACTAATGTTGTGGTCCCACCCCATAGCAAAGAAACAGAATTTCTGGAGGATGAGGGCCAGAAATCAGGATTTTTAAAGTGATCCCCAGGTGATTCTAATGTGCAGCCAAGGTTGAGAACCACTGGCATAAAGCCTCATTCTCCCATGTGGGCATACAGGCATCGCTGACCAGGAAACACACCACGTCTTAATCACTTCATGCTGGTCTCTCTGGGCTGTGAGCTGCCGGCCATCCCCACAGCCTTCACTGCTGCCTGGCTGCGCCTGGGGCACCTCCCCCCAGGAGGTTCTCACTCCCCACTCCCTATCTTGAATTGAGAATTCTAAGAGGAAACATGAGAAGCATGAAGGAAAGCGCTTTCAAGATGTGGCTAGTTCACTGTAGGTGTTTAACGTTTGTAACATGGATAGACAGATGGATGGACAGACAGACCACTGAATGATGGACAGGAACATAAACTCAGGGCACTTTTACTTTCTCCAGAATCTACCAAAACAAGTGCTGGTGCCTGGCCGGTGTGCCTAAGTGGTTAAAGAGTTGGCCAGCGCATAGAAGGGTGGCAGGTTGATGTCTGGCCCAGGGAGCCAGGGAGGGGAGACAGGGGGAAAGGGGGGAGCAATCCATGTGTCACTTTCTTCTCTCTCTCTCTCTCTCTCTTTCTCTCTCTCTCTCTATCTCTCTCTCTCTCTTTCCTTTCCTTCCTCCTTCCACTCTCTCTAAAAATCCATGGAAAAAATATCCTTGAATAAGGATTTAAACACACACACACACACACCAGGTGCTGGCAACTTTGATTTAAAGTTTAAACTCATCCTGAAAGTCCATCTTTCCAGGACAACTACTACTACTTCAGGAAACTTCTGAAAGTTACACCATAGGCATGGCAGAGGCCTGATGGTCCCCTTCTGAGGCCCCCGCTGGTCAGAGGCCCCAAGCACCTCTGATCAGAAGCAGCCTCTCAGGGTGGGGCCCAGAGGTGAATCCTCCCTCCGGAGAGCAGCCAGCTCTGACTGACCTGCCTCAAATTTTGGTCCTGACCCTTTTCACCACTGTGACTTTGGCTGCTTTATCTCACTGTTTCCTCATCTGGAAAATGAAGAAAAGAAGAATGAGCCAGGCTCATTTTTATTTCTAATAATAACCATACCCACAACAGTAGTAGTGGTGGTGAACGCTAACGCTTAGTGGGTGTTCACTATGAAGGAGGCAATATGCTAAGTGCTTTAAGTGCATTATTTTATGTGATCTTAGCAACAGCGGCATCACACTCTCTCCATCTTAAAGAGAAGGCTACTAGTAAAATCATCTCAGTCATTTGTCCAAAGTTCCAGAGCTGGTAAGTGAACCCAGATCTGGCCTCCAGAGCCCTAACACAGGAGACACCCAATGATAGGTGAAACCCTCGAGACCTGTGCTCCCCAGTAGACAGTATGCTCCAGCTATTTTTATCCATTTCATTACCCTTAAAGCCTAGCCTACCTAGACCATCATAGGTGTTCAATCAGTGAATGAACAAATAATAAACACAGGGCACAATATTAAGATCTGGTCTGAGCAGTCTGGGGCAGGCAGTGACCGGGCCTCATGATTCGTTCGGTCCCAGTTTGGCTTAGGGCCCTAAACCTACAGTCCTGCATTTTTAGTGCATCTGAATTTCTATGCCATCTGTTCTATGCAAGGATAAAAGGGGGTGATGTTATGTCCATACACACACGCAGTCATTAGATGCAAAAATTAGGTCTCTCTTTCTGAAACTGCTCCTCATTTTTCCTGCCCAAATGAAATCTAAGTATGAGGCACCATGGCATCCCAGCTAGAGGCAGGAGATTCACTCCAGTTCCATCGCCAACTGCCAGTGTTACAGACCCCCAGGCCTTCACATTCCTCACTGGAAGAGGAGCCCCGGCTCAATGACCACCTGGGGCTGGAGGCTACCATTAGGACAGTGTAGATAGAGGGCGTCTCTGTCATCACGGACAAGTCTGCTGGGTAGTAGACTTGTAATTTTCCATAGTAAAGGAAAATTACACTACCACAGGGATAAGAAGATTGAGTTTCAACGAAGCTATCAGGGTTCTGTGACATTGGAAATGAGATGTTGATTGAGATGAATTATTGTCAGATTACCCAACACTTAGTCATTCAACAATCCGAACTATGTCTTTGACAAGATGTTTCTTATGAAAGACTTTGGGTATTTTTATCTGAGTCACTAAGACTAAAACAAAATAGGTTAGAAGTATATAACTCTAGTTAATCTGACAATTCCTACCACAAACACCTATGTTAAAAAAAATGACCAACGAAAATAGCAGTTTATGACCCTTTAGAAAAACAGGATTGGGCAACATCCAGTCAAGATGGCAGTAGGTAAATGCGGTACCCTCATCCTCCCAGAACCAGAGCAAAATTACGAGTAAACTACAGAACAACAATCATTCAGAACCATCTGAAATCTAGCTGAATGAAAGTCCTACAAATACAGATTTAAAGAAGCCACATGGAGACTGGTAGGAGGTGCAGAGACTTGGAAGAACGGGGCCCATACCCACATATGGTGGACACAAATTGGGAAGGATATCTTGGCTGTGGGGTTCCCCCTAAGGATTCAGAGTCCCAGCACTGGTTCCAGCGCCAGGAAGAAAAGTCCCCACAACTGCTGCCTGTAAAGACCAGCGGGAATTGAGGCTGAGGGAGAAGGAGAGCTGCAAGAGTCCCAGGCATTCCTCTTAAAGGATTACACACAGACTTACTCAGACTCATATCCTCTGACCTTACAATGCGGGGGCAGCAGTTTGAAGGGCACCAGGGATATTTGGGGAGGAACTGAATTGTCTAGCATCAGGATGAGGGTAAAAGGGAGGCTTTCGAACCAGATCTGGCCTGGGGTCAGAAGTGCACTGGCATAGGCCATTGTTCCTTTTCTAAGCCCTCCCTCCACAGAGCTGGCAGGCAGGCACCATATCCGAGCCTCCATCAACCTGGCTAACACTATTAGCCCCACCCTGCTGATTCCCTGAGACCCCATACCATTCAACTTGTGGGCCCATCCAAACTATTTTCAGTGGCTTTTCCATACAAACAGCTTGTCTTGGCTCATACTTCAGACTTTCCTAAGACCTTTCAAAAAAGCAGCATCTGGACTTGGCATGGCCCATACCTCTCGCTACGTGGCTCTAGGCCTTGCACTAGTGGCAGCCAGCCTTGGTTCACAGTTTGGCCTCTCCTGGGCACCTCCATGCCCAGCACAAGTAGTAGCCATCTGCAGATTGCTTCGTAGCGCATGTATGGTGTCAGATAGGTATAAGATATATTGGGACTATCACTGAGTAAGTTATATGATGTCTAATTACTGGGGTGTACACCTGAAACTAATATGATATTGTATATAAACTGTAATAGAAAAAAATGATTTTTAAAAAAGAATGCAGAACTAAAAAGCATGTGCATTTGTAATTTTTGACGGCTATTGTCATAATTTTAAGGGATCCTCTACTTTATACTTCTATCTGCAATATATTAGAATTCCTGCTTTCCTACATCCTCATACACATATTATGTCATCAAACTCTTTGATGTTTGATAATATGAGAAGTAAAAATACTATTGCCTAAATCTAATTTGCATTTCTCTTATAGCAAGATTGAACATCTTTTCCTATAGATATAACAGCAATAAGATTTTACCTTTTTCCTCAAAAAATTAAATATGGTAATGCCATTTGACCCAGTGATCCCATTTCTAAGAATATATCCTAAGAAACCCAAAACACCAATTAGAAAGAATACATGCACCCCTATGTTCATAGCAGTGCAATTTATAATCACTCTGATCTGGAAACAGCCCAAGTGCCCATCAGTAGATGAGTGGATACAAAAGCTGTAGTACGTTTACACCATGGAATACTATGCAGCAGTAAAAAGAAGCATCTCTTACCCTTTGAGACAGAATAGAAGGAGAGTATTATGCTAAGTGAAATAAGCCAGTCAGAGAAAGACA